AGTTTATGGACTAATGCTTTGACATATTTGGGTCATCCTATTAAAGAGTTGTTAACTGCTGTGATAGGAGGTAAAACTCAATTTGGTGTTTGGTCTGGTAGTGTCACTTCGGTTGAGGCTTCGATGATGAAACTAATTGACTCTCAGCAGGTGGAGAGTTTTAGACAGACCTTAGATATATCGTAGCGGGTGGAAAGTGATGCTACTCCATATTGGGTGGAGATTACTCCACATACTCCAGATCATACTGTATCATTTGGGATTCCAGTTGAGGTGACATAGTTAAGGGATCAATTGTTTTTGGATGCAGATGATGAGTTGGTTTTTGATTCGAGTGCAGCTGGCAGATATAGTTTGGATATGGCCATTGGTTCACCTCAGGTGGAGGTGTTTGATTCGTTACACTTTGAGGCCATTGGAGGTGCTATCAGCTGCAGAGTTGATGATATTGGAGAAGGGTTGTAAACTCTTCTATTGGATTGAGGTCGTTCGTGGCCACTTGGATGAACTACGGGCTGTTTGATCTCTTGGGAGAGGGGGTACATAGGCAACCACACTGGTGCAGCCGAATTTGGTGAGACGACGCATTGGTGCTCATGTTGGTGTCGGCTCAGTTTTGGAAAAACTTCACCGAGATGGAGAATTATGAACGTGTGAAAACACGTGAGGTGATTTAAACGTGGGCCCCCACGTTGTGAAGAGATCAGCGGACAAAAGTTGGGGCCATCCTTTCCGCGTGAAGAGATCACGAACAGCATAGTACGGCCTACCCAAATGTCTGATTGAAACCTATAAATACCTAGTTTATTCTAAGGTTTCTGGGGCGAGCAAGGCAAGGGACGTGCAAAGGACGGCGCTGGCTTGGTGCAAGGGGTGTGTCACGCCCCGAAACTACAGCGAAAATTCATAAAATACGGGGTGCGCGACAGCAGCGACCTGTGCATGAGACAACTCTTATGCACGGGTCAAGCCTGGCACTTCATATCACATAGTTTATTTCAAAATATTCACAACCTGGTGATGATAGAAGTCAGAGCAACTATATATATGATCGGTACTTACAGCCCACAAGCTCACTGTTATAAACATTTTTACAAAACAAAACAAATTATGCTGAAGATAACATCAAAAAGAAGAGGCTCTCCATATCACGCCTCTCAGCCAAAAGCTTAAACCAAAAGTCGGCTAATAGGAAGCTACGCCGGATCTGAAAAAAATATTTAAAAACAACGGGGTGAGCTAGCGCTCAGTGAGAACATTTCCCTCTAGAGTTCCTAGATAACTAACAAAATAGTAATAAGAATAGTTCTCAGAAATTAACAAATTTTAAGTTTTGCATGAGAAATTCACAGATAGCAAAATACGATCCAAATATCGTAATATTGTCATTTTTAAGAAAGAATACAACAATTATATTTCCTTTCTCATGTGCAACTGAATAAACTGTGAAATTTCTTGGAATCAAACCCTTTTTGAATCAAGGTAAATATTAAGAAGAAAAAGAACTACTAATTTGTACAAAATCAGAGAACTGTTGTTTTCTTAATTTCACAGTCAATTATCAGAATCTTATTTCTCGATGAATATTTCATGAATGTAAAAGTCACCCCATAGGTCACACTAAGGCTACGAATTTTATCACAGTAGCAAGAGAATGCGTAAATCCGCATCAGATAACAGATAATTCCCGGGAATCAAATGCACCCAACACTACCATAGGTTACTGGCCAAATACAGATGGGCCAGAACAAATTTTGGAAGGGACAATACAGAAGGGCCAATACAGAAGGGCCAAATACAGGTGCATTCACCATATGGCAGGCAGAAACAATCCATAGTGGACTATTTGAGGGTTTGAAAACATCGAGATCACATGTCAAATGAGTAATACTTTGCATATCAGAATTTACAGATATTTTCAAATGAAGTTGGCAAGGTAAAACTTCTCATTTCTGTTAAAACAGTTTACAGATATTTACTTTTTCTTTTATCAGATACTAAATCACGAAAAATCTTTGAATCTGTTAAACTGTTGAAATACGTTCCAAATATTTCATCAAAAACTTTTAGATATAACAAAGTCCATAATTATTTGAAAATTGCACGAGAGCCAAAGTTATTTTTCATATTTTACATAAAGATCAAATTAGCTTTTCATATATTGTACGAGGCTAACATCGTATTATAGGATAGACCACAACAGAAATAGGTTAAATCTTTATATACATGAAAAGACATATTATTTATTTATTTATTTTTATCACAAGATAAATCAAATATAAAACTCATGCAATTTCATATTATAAAATACTAGTGAGAAATGAACTCACTGAGCGCTAGCTCACCCCGTTGTTTTTAAAATATTTGTAATACCCTAACCCTTGAGAGGGTGATGTGATTAGTATTGATAGATTTGATTGGATCTCTCTCTCTCTCTCTCTCTCTCTCTCTCTCTCTCTCTCTCTCTCTCTCTCTCTCTCTCTCTCTCTCTCTCTCTCTCTCTCTCTCTCTCTCTCTCTCTCTCTCTCTCTCTCTCTCTCTCTCTCTCTCTCTCTCTCTCTCTCTCTCTCTCTCTCTCTCTCTCTCTCTCTCTCTCTCTCTCTCTCTCTCTCTCTCTCTCTCTCTTCCCCTCTCTCTCTCTCTCTCTCTCTCTCTCTCTCTCTCTCTCTCTCTTCCGCCCCTCTCTCTCTCTCTTGCTCTCGCCATGGCTGCAGGATGGCGACGAGGAAACCGCCGGGGACCAAGAGCGGCCGACGACGAGGTCCTTGCCGGATCTAGGGGTTAGTTATTTCTTTTTTTTTTCTTCTCTTCTTTTTTTTCAGTTTGTTTCATGCATCCAAAACACACAAAAGAATCCTTTTGCAAACCCTAAATTCTTTTTAAGTTCATATTCATAACAATTTAATTCCCTTATTCATTCTATTTTGATTGATTTACTGAGATCTCTATAACAACTTTACTCCTCTAAACCAAGAAATCAACAAAGGGAAGAGTTTATACATTTGGTTAACTTGAATTTTAGATGAAAAAAATCCCCTCTTTTCCTTTCCTGTTCACTGCTTCCTTCCTCTTCTTCCTCTTTTTCTTCTTCTTCTTCTTTATTTTTTTTCGTTTTTAACCTAAATTTCTTCCCTTTCCTCCCCTTATATACCGTTGGGAGGCGGTGAAAAGATAATCGCTATGTTAAGCGGTGGAGAAACTCCCCACCATAAAATTTTTAATTATTTTATTCATTTATTTATTTATTTATATTTTTGTTGGCTATTACAGGGTGTTTTGCGGCAGAAAAGTAAGTGCAAAAAGGGTTTGTGCAGGAGAAAAGAAGCTGACTGTTTTCTTTGGCAGCGTGCAAGACAGGGCGCAGGCAGAGAGCAAAAGTGCTTCGGCGGCTGTGCAAAGGCAAGTTTTCTTGGGCTACGTGCAACAAGAAAAACAGAGGTTCTTTTGGCTCTTTTTGAGAGAGATATTTGTGTGAGGGATCTGAGAGTTTGTGTGAGGGTTTAGATTGTGAGATTGTAAACCCTAGTTGTATTCTCTCCCTCTAATAGTAGATCTCCCCCCTCCTTGCCCCGTGGACGTAGGCAATTTGCCGAACCATATAAAACTTGTGTGATTGCTGTTTGTGGCCATTGTAATAGTTTATTAGGATCCCTCGACAAGTCAGTCCTAGAACTGATGAGAAGAAGAGCCGATATCTCACTTTGTTGAGATATTCGCTTCAGATTCTTATTTCCTTGGTAAGACGGGAATTTTTATTGCGATCTTTCTCTCTTATTGTGCACCAGAAACTCTGCCGAAATTTTCGCTGCACACAACACACATCATCTTTTTCTATAATAGTTTTCTTTTCTTTGTTCAGTTCAATTCTTGAAACTAAGAAATAGTTTATGTGTCAATCTCTCGTTGGTTAATGTACCTCAATTCTAGGTAATCTATTTCGTAACTTTTTATGAGGAAATGGGATGAAATTGTATTCGATGATTTCCTTTACCTATATCCTTTTATTTGGTTTCCAAGAATCCTCGTATTAGCTGTTTTCTCACAATTTTCTGTATCATCATAATGAGATTACCTTTGTTTATTATGTATACCCTTCTGATTTTATTATCAAGCTATTTTCTCTGCAATCAAACTGGCACTCTTTCAGGTTTAGCAAAGCTCATGATATCAGTGTCTCATATTCCCCTCAAAGATAATAACAAAGAGTTCTAGAAAATTCAATTTGATTTTCAAAATGATGGAGGGGCATTTTGAAGAGTCAATCAGAAACAAGGAATCACATAATATGCCATCAGCATCAATCATAAATTTGATGTAGATTCCGTCAAAAAGTTAGTTGAACAGTTGATTATTTCTCTACAATTGATCACTAATCGGAACAAACAATCAGCATTTAATGAAGAATTAACCAAGTGAAAAATATGCGACAAGCAATGTAAAAGTCTGATGCGCTTCTTGTTAAACAACTGATTTTGTTGAAATTGAAAGTTTGTATAAGGAAACGTTTATGGGGGTCAAATGCTCAGAAACTAGAAATGCTAATTACTTAGATTATTGAAAAACATATTTAACATCTATTATGAGTAGCTTATGTGGTTATGTACCTCTATATCAATGCATGTATGAGCTTTAAGAACAAGGAATGGTTGTTGAGTTGGCTTTTAGCATTGAATGGCTACTATCTGAAATATATGGAAGTGAAAAATCATAATTTTTGGGTAAGTTGGTGCTTATACTTCTCAGTTGCATTAATTGAGTCATCTCCATAACATCTATCTTCCTTCATAATGAATTCAATCCTCTTCTTATTTATCTTCTTACATTCTTTCACCCAAGATTTTTTTTTTAAATTATCTGATGAGTTAGCATGTCAGGTTTCCTGGATTTTTACTGCACTGACTTCTTAATTAACAAGCAACAAAGGACACTCTACCTTCGCCCACTACAAAGAAAGCTCGACTCTATGAATTCTCGGTGCAATCTCTGAAACATAACTTCATTCCTCCATCAAACCAACCAAATGAAGGCAATCAAAAGATATCTACTTGATGTAAAGAACATAATATACAAAAGCAAAGCAAAGGTAGCCCTTTTCTCAATCTTAGCTCTGATACTACTAATAACCATCCCCCCTTATTTCTACCCGTTGCTACACCAATTATTACCTACTTCTTCTAGTGTCAATGTTCGAACAAGTGTTATGTACCGAAGTTGTGATATTTTCAAAGGGCGATGGGTAAGAGACCCAAAAGCTCCATATTATACGAATGAGAGTTGTTGGGCTATTCATGATAACCAAAATTGTATGAAATATGGGAGGCCTGATAATGAGTTTATGAAATGGAGGTGGAAGCCTGATCAATGCGAGCTGCCGATATTTAACCCTGCACAGTTCTTGGAGATTGTTCGCGGTAAATCGATGGCTTTTGTAGGGGACTCACTGGGGAGAAACCATATGCAAGCTTTAATGTGTCAGTTATTAAGGGTAAGTTTTTTTTTTAACATGTTATGCCAATATCAATTTTGCATTTTGACACAGAAAAGCAACCATGCAGGCATCATTCAGAGTTTGTATGACTTATTAGAATTCTTTAGGTCTACTTTTTGTTGATTTTGAAAGAAAATTTGGTTATATTCTATATCTAAGTACAATTTTTAGTTTGCACTCTGAAACATAACAAATTCCTGATGGGCACATGACTAGATAAACACTGTTCTGGTTGAAATCAAATCAGTACTGTTCTTTCTTAATATCACTGTTGTTGAACTTACTATTGTTGTAGTTTAATTATTGAAGATAGGCCTCCTGGGTTAAATTTTTTATTTTTCTTTTACCCTTGATGAAATTTCAGTGTTTCCTCTGGTTAAAAGTAGTGAGTCCATCCGAGCGTAAAGAGTCAAAAAGTTTAACCTAGGGGTTCTATCTGTAGCAATAAACTTACAGAGGTTGTAAGTTTAAAAACAGCAAAATAAAACTCAATTCAAGTTTTAAAATGTGTAAAATGAAGTTCATAAATTTTCCTTATTAATCAATTTTTGCAAAAAGTTCAGGTTACCTATGTCGAAGATGTATCTCCTACTACTGACTACAAGTCAAGAACCTGGCTATTTCGAGCCCACGATTTCACTCTCGCAAACTTCTGGTCACCATTCTTAGTAAATGCCAATGAAGCCGAGCCCAACGGTGATCCTCTCAATGGTGTCTACAACCTCTATCTTGACGAACCAGATAAGAACTGGACAATGCACATTAACAAATTCGACTATGTGATAATTTCAGCAGGCCAATGGTTCTTTAGACCAGTCATTTACTACGAAAACAATAAACTTATCGGTTGCTATTCTTGCAACCAAGCCAACATAAATAATCTTCCAATGTACTATGGATATGCAAGGGCTTTTAGGACTTCATTCAAAGCCTTGTATGGTCTAAATGGCTTTAAAGGTATGACATTTCTTCGCACATTTTCACCTGCGCATTTTGAGAATGGTGAATGGAATAAAGGAGGGAATTGTATTAGAAAAACACCGTTTAAGAGTAACGAGACTAGTTTAAGAGGTTTTATGCTTGAGACTTATATGACACAGATTGAAGAGTTTAAGGATGCGGCGAGAGAAGCAAAGAGGAGAGGCTTGAAATTTAGATTGTTGGATATCACAGAAGTTATGTTATTGAGAGCAGATGGGCATCCAAGTATTTATGGGCATTGGCCACATGAGAAGGTGTTGCAATATAATGATTGTGTTCATTGGTGCTTGCCTGGTCCTGTTGATGTCTGGAATGATTTCATGCTGGAGATTTTGAAGATGGAAAGTCTAAGTTCATTTTTCAGTCATATTGCCAAAAGAGCAAAGAATGAGCCATGACATATAGTTTGTATTCAATAAGATCATTATATGTGTATCAGCAGTAGACACCATGTCAAATATGTACATGAAATATCAGCATAAGTATATCCTAAAAAAATTACATTACATCTATATCATTCAAAAACTTAAGAATTTACTTTCTTTTCTCTGGAACACCTACATGGCGCGCATTGAACATGAAATCCGATTAATAAACATGATACCTTATAAGTAAACTTTCTCGCGCCAGAATATAAGATACGCTTACACCTAAATTTGTTGAGCCAAGAAAAGAAATGACACGTGGAGCATCACCCACATCATCATGCAAGCGAACATTTCTTGATTCGCTGACGATTGGAAAAAGTATCGCAAAATTGCATTATTTGAATTTATGCATATTAATATTGAATTTATGAGATGCGCTGATGGATTTAACTGTCCAGATTGCGTGCATCTTGTGCTTTTTAACGACTATAAATATGTCAATTTAGTCCATTCAAGGTGTTATAAGAAATTTACATGAAAAAAATGAGTGATTGGTTATGGGCTCAATATATGTTCTTGTTAGTTAGGAAGCTGCAGCAGCGAGCTGTAGCAGATGTTGTAAAGGATGAAGGTCTCCAACCTGTCCAACCTGCATGTTACAAGCTAAGGCTTAGCGTCCGATCCAAATTCCCTATCGAGGGATAAAATGAAGGTAAGGATAAATCTAGCTATGATGTTATTGTTAGGATTCACCCCAATAATAACGCCTCGAACGGAGACTTAATCACAAAATAAGTGCACAAAATTCAACACAGAGTACTCACAGATATACGTGGTTCACTCCTTCGGAGCTACTCCACGGTGCAACGACGACGCCAAATTCTTTTATATCCCAAAAGAATTGATCCAAGAGAACACCCTCTCTTGATCAGATACACTCCAAGAATTCTCACAAACTCTCTCTTTGTTTTCTCTTACTCTTCTATAAGAGGAGTTGTTTCTGGGATGAGATTTTCTTAAGAGTTTAGGGCCCTATTTATAGTGTTTGAGAAATACTATGCACAAATAAAATATTATTAGTGCCCCCCGCCATTAATAATATTTTACTGTGGGACCCACCACCTTTTTCATTTTTCTCAAAAATCGGCCACCGAATTCTCTAATGTTCAACAAAGGCTGCTGGGGGTCAACAAAGGCTGCTGGTTAACAATCTCCCACTTGAAGATTTGATTGAATATCAATCATATCTTCACACCATTCTTGGTAGCATCATCCGGATGTCTTGTATCTTTGGCGTCTTGCACGGCCCTCAACATTCTCAACGGAGGCCATATGAGGCTGCACACAGCCTCACCTTCTCGAGCGGAACTGGCTTGGTCAGCATATCAGCTGGATTATACCTCTCATCCGGATGTCTTGTATCTTTGGCGTCTTGCACGGCCCTCAACATTCTCAACGGAGGCCATATGAGGCTGCACACAGCCTCACCTTCTCGAGCGGAACTGGCTTGGTCAGCATATCAGCTGGATTATACCTCGTATCAATCTTCACAAGCTTGAACTCGTTCCTGCTTTGCCATCTCCGTATGGCATGGTGCTTCACGTCAACATGCTTGGTCCGAGCATGGAATGCGTCGTTCTCTGACAAGTGAATGGCACTCTGACTGTCGCAGTGGATGAAGTATTTCTCAAAGCTTACTCCAAGCTCGAGAAGAAAAGCCTTCAACCATAGCAACTCCTTTGCTGCCTCTGCTGCAGACACGTACTCGGCTTCGGTTGTCGACAAAGCCACAGTATCCTGTAACTTGGATCTCCAACTTATCGCTCCACCACCCAAGATGAAGATGTAGCCGCTCGTGCTCCTTCTTGAATCTATATCCCCTGCGTAGTCTGCATCACAAAAGCCCTCTAGCTGCAAATCTGCCCCGCCATACTCAAGACAATGGTCGGACGAGCTTCTCAAGTAGCGTAGAAGCCACTTGACCGCACCCCAGTGTTGCTTCCCTGGATTGCTCATGAAGCGGCTCACAACTCCCACTCCTTGTGCAATATCTGGCCTCGTGCACACCATCGCATACATCAAACTCCCGACGACAGATGCATATGGTATGTTTGCCATGAACTCGTGCTCTTCAGCAGTCTCTGGTGCTTGGGTCTTCGATAGCTTGAAATGACTTGCAAACGGCGAGCCCACCGGTTTAGCTTTCTCCATGCCAAACTTTTCAAGAATCTTCTCAATGTAGGCCTTCTGAGACAACCTCAGCCTCCGTGCTGATCTGTCTCTGATGATCCTCATCCCCAGAATCTGGTTTGCTGGACCCAGATCCTTCATCTCGAAGCACTCGGAGAGACGCCCCTTGAGTTCCTCAATGCGGGCCAAGTCGGGCCCTGCAATCAACATGTCATCAACATAAATCAAGAGTATTACATAGGATTCGTCATATCTCTTGATGAAGCAGCAGTGGTCTGTGTCACATTTGAGAAAACCGTTCTCCTCCATAAAGTTCTCGAACTTCATGTACCACTGTCGTGGAGCTTGCTTCAGGCCATACAAGCTCTTGTGCAGACGACATACGAGGCCCTCCCTGCCTCGTTCCTCGAAGCCCACTGGTTGATGCATATAGATTTCTTCCTCCAGATCTCCATGAAGGAATGTCGTCTTCACATCCATCTGTTCTAGGTGGAGATCTTGAACTGCTACAATGCTCAGCATAGTTCGGATCGTGGTCAACTTGACGACGGGAGCGAAAACGTCAGAATAATCAATCCCTGCTTTCTGTTCATAGCCCTTCACTACAAGCCTCGCCTTGTAGCGTCTCCGTCCATCGGCTTCATCCTTGACCCGATAAATCCACCGATTGTGAAGAGCCTTTCGCCCTCGTGGAAGCTTTACAAGCTCCCAAGTCCCATTCTTCATCAAGGACTTCATTTCTTCCTCCATGGCAGACTCCCACTCGCCGCGAGCTTTGCCGGTCTGCTGTACCTCCTCATAGCTCTCTGGCTCACCATTGTCAGTCAGGAGAAGGTAATTCATTGTGGAAAGGTACCTCTCTGGCACCCTTGGATTTCTTGGAGCTTTGCGAATTGCGATCGGCAACTCTGCTGGATCCTGCTGCTGTGCATCCTGCATGTTCTCTTGGTCTCCGTCTTCTATGCTGATTGGTATCTCATCGTTGTCCTCACTGTCAGCAATATCTGGGAAAAGAGGGGGAGATAGCTGACTCCCACTCACCTCTTTGGTCTTGTACACCGCATTCTCATGGAATACGACGTCACGACTGCGCACCACCTTGCGCGCATCGTGATCCCAGAAACGGTACCCATACTCATCTCCTCCATAGCCGATGAAAGAGAGCTTCTTTGACTTTGGATCAAGCTTTGACCGGTCTGCAGGATTGGTCATGACATAGGCGTCACAACCAAATACTCGTAAGTGCTCTAGCTTCAGCTTCTTTCCGGTCCAAGCCTCTTCAGGTATCCCATAATTGAGAGCCGCGGATGGCCCGCGGTTGATCAAGTATGCAGCAGTATTGACAGCTTCAGCCCAAAAGCTCTTGGGCAATCCGGAGTGGATCCTCATACTTCTGGCGCGCTCCAAGATAGTGCGATTCATGCGCTCCGCCACTCCGTTGTGCTGAGGTGTGCCTGGGACGGTCTTCAGTCTCCGAATCCCACGGGACGAGCAGAAGTTCTCGAACTCCTGGCTGCAATACTCGCCTCCATTATCAGACTTTAGGCACTTCAGCTTATTGCCTGTTTCGTTCTCCACACAGGCAAGCCACTTCTTGAAGATGATGAATACATCTGACTTGTGCTTCAAGAAGAACACCCACAATTTTCTCGTAGCATCATCAATAAAAGTGACAAAGTAAAGAGAGTTACCAACAGATGGGACTTGCGCAGGTCCCCACACGTCGGTGTGCACCAACTCCAATTTCTGCAGTTTTGGAGCCGGTCCGGTCTTGTTGAAGCTCACCTTCTTTTGTTTGCCTAGGATGCAGTCCTCACAGAAAGTCAGATCGATCTTGTTCAGACCCGGAAGCCTCTCTCCCGCGGCCATAATCTGCATCCCCTTCTCGCTCATGTGGCCAAGTCGTCGATGCCAAGTCATGCAGTCGACGGATGATGATGATGATGCTTGTCCTGCGGCAAGCAAGTGGTCGATCTTCCCGTTGGCGATGTAGAGAGACCCCTCGCGTTTGCCGTGTGCCACCACCAGGGCACCCTTGGACACCTTCCAGCTTCTCTGCTCGAAGGATACTCTGTAACCGGAGTCAGTCAGTTGCCCGACTGATATAAGATTTCGCCTGAGATCTGGTACATGCCGAACATCATTCAGCGTCAAGGTGGTCCCGCCCTCCATCTTGAGGGTACAATTTCCCTTCCCGGAAACCTTACAAGGTTGATCGTCGCCAAGATAGACTGTCTCCAAGTCCTTCTTCACGAACGATGAAAGCAGCTTTTGTTGTGAGGTTGCATGAAAAGATGCGCCAGAGTCGATGACCCACGCATCACTTTTGTCTTCTAGGGATAGGAGAAGTGCATCCGAATCCGTCTCGTGCATGAGATTGGCTGCACCGTCAGCCCGATCATCCCCTGCTGATGCTTGAACAGTAACTCTGCAGTCCCGTGCAAAGTGGCCCTTCTTTCCGCATCTGAAGCACTTCCCTTCACCGTAACCATTCGGGTTTGGCTCTTTAGACTTCCCTCTGGATTTTGATTGGCCTCGTCGTCCCCTACCCTTCTTCTGTGCACGCCCTCGTGCCTCGACATGCAGAGCACTCCCACTGCTAGAGGCCTCAGCTCCTGAGACTTTGCGGCGAGATTCTTCATCCAGAATTGCCCCAACCACTGTGTCGAGCTTCATCTTGTCATTGCCATTAGCGTTGCTCACCGCCATTACCATATTCTCCCATGAATCTGGTAGACAAGAAAGTAGCAGAAGAGCTTGGATCTCGTTGTCGAACTTTAGATCTACTGCAGCAAGCTGTTGCACCACAGCCTGAAATTCGTTCAAGAAGTCCGCCACGCGAGCTCCTTGCTGCATCTTGAGATTGAATAGCTTCTTCATCAGGTACACCTTATTTGAAGCAGACGGCTTCTCATACAGCGCCTCCAAGGCCTCCATCAACTCCTTGGTGGTGGTCGCATGCGAGACGTTGTAAGTCACATGCTGGTGAAGGTTGAGCCTGATGGTGGCAAGTGCTTTACGATCGAGCACCTTCCACTTATCGTCGTCCATCTTCTCAGGTTTCCCCGCCTCTCCTTGGAGGGGTAGGAAGAGATCCTTCTGGTACAAATAGTCTTCTATTTGCATCCTCCAATACCTGAAATTTTGGCCGCCGAACTTCTCAATTCGAAGCCTGTTGTCTTCAACTGTAGATGTCTTTCCCGTATTTGTGAATAGTACCGTATTCGTGAATAGTACCGTATTCGTGAACAGTACCGTATTCGTAAATAGTACCGTATTCTTGAATAGTACCGTATTCGTGAATAGTGCCGTACACGTGAATAGTACCGTACACGTGAATAGTGCGATCCACTTTTAGTGACAGCCACAGAGCATACGATAAGCAGATATATATACTCTAAGTCAGGCTCTGATACCAGTTGTTAGGATTCACCCCAATAATAACGCCTCGAACGGAGACTTAATCACAAAATAAAGGCACAAAATTCAACACAGAGTACTCACAGATATACGTGGTTCACTCCTTCGGAGCAGCCACAGAGCATACGATAAGCAGATATATATACTCTAAGTCAGGCTCTGATACCAGTTGTTAGGATTCACCCCAATAATAACGCCTCGAACGGAGACTTAATCACAAAATAAGTGCACAAAATTCAACACAGAGTACTCACAGATATACGTGGTTCACTCCTTCGGAGCTACTCCACGGTGCAACGACGACGCCAAATTCTTTTATATCCCAAAAGAATTGATCCAAGAGAACACCCTCTCTTGATCAGATACACTCCAAGAATTCTCACAAACTCTCTCTTTGTTTTCTCTTACTCTTCTATAAGAGGAGTTGTTTCTGGGATGAGATTTTCTTAAGAGTTTAGGGCCCTATTTATAGTGTTTGAGAAATACTATGCACAAATAAAATATTATTAGTGGGACCCGCCATTAATAATATTTTACTGTGGGACCCACCACCTTTTTCATTTTTCTCAAAAATCGGCCACCGAATTCTCTAATGTTCAACAAAGGCTGCTGGGGGTCAACAAAGGCTGCTGGTTAACAGTTATCCCCTCTCTTATACAGCTTAAGGAACTTCCAGTGCTTTGTCTTTCAATTTACTTTTTACAAATCTTCCAACTCCTCATTTTTTTTTATTTTCTTGTTCATCTATGTATCAGTACCTTTTTACTTAACAAATACATTTCTCAGGAAAGCTTATCAGAAAAAAAAATCAAATTAAATAAACTATTTTTCTTGAATTTTTTTTTATGTTCAAGGGTAAGCCAAAGACCAGAAACATCTGACACTTTTAATGGCACATTTCCTTATTTTGTTTATTATCATACTCTGTAGACAAATAGTTTGGCTGATATCTAATGCCATGGAAAAATGGTCACAATTACTTTCCATCAGGGGAATTTTACACCCCACCCCAACCACAAACAAACAACAAAAAAAAAAAAAGTAGAAACGGTTTGCCTGGTTTTGAGGGTAATTAACCACCTAAAGTTGAGAAATGTCACTTAACCCTCATTAAGTTTTGTGAGATGACTCCCGCAATTAACACCGTAAGATCTGATTTTCCAAACAACCAAAATGCCCCTGATGGAAAACCCCTCTTTCATGTCCATTTTAACAATTTTGAAGGTAGTTTTCACTATGAGAAATCAAAACATTGATCAATTCAAGAAGTAGCGGTACAGAAATCTACATATCACCGACAACAAAATATTTGCTGAACATGCACAAGCAACAGCCAAAATGCACAGTTACTTGATAGTGTCCTCTCACCATACATTTTACACTAAATCTGAGGGAGCCTAGCAGAAGCAGACCTCCAACCCTCCATCTTCAACATATTCAGTAGGAAATCATTCCACGAATCAACCGGTCCTGGCAAACACCAGTGCACACAATCATTATACATAACAACATTTTCACCAGGCATGTGCCCGTATTTACTAGGATGCCCATCTGGCCTTAACAAAATCGCCTCCGTTATATCCAGCAACCTAAACTTCAAACCTCTCTTCATTCCTTCCCTTTCTGCAGCCCAAAATTCCTCTAACTGTGTCATGTAAAGCTCAAGATTAACTCCAGCCAACCTCGTCTCATTACTCCTGAAAGGCCTTGTTCTTATGCAATTTCCCCCTTTATTCCATTCTCCATTCTCAAAATGTGATGGCGCAAAAGTTCGAAGAAATATCATCCCTTTAAAATTTTGCAAGCTGTTAATAGCTCGAAATGTAGTTCTAAAGGCCATTCTGTAACCATAGTACATTGTCAAATCTGTGATATTTTTCTGTAGACAGTAGTGACACCCTTTGAGATTGTTGTTTTCATAATACATTGTTGGACGAAAGAACCAGTGACCTGTGGATACAATTACATAGTCAAAATTTTCAATTTGGGTTGTCCAATTTGAGTCAGGCTCATCTAAGTATAGATTGAAGAGGCCAGTTAGTGTTGGGCCTCGAGGGTCAGCTTCTTGAGCCTTTACTAAGTATGGTGACCAGAAGTTGGCTAATGTGAAATTGTGTGTAGGATATGACCAACGCTTGGACTTGTCATCGGTTGTGGGGGAAGTATCTACTGCATATGTTACCTGAAAATTGAAAATTGAATCATAAATAATATTCATATATAACTTCATATACACGTGCATTCCTACATCTAGGACTTGCACAAACTTCCATTTTATTAGGTGGCACGCTAACAAATGCTACAACGGTTAAGGGTATTAAGACTTAACCATATTAATGTGCTAAAAAAAATGTATAAGATTTTTTTACCCAACTACAAAACTAGATTCATTATGAGGCATAATATATATATAAGATTTTGACCCTCTAATTAAAACTTCTAAAATTTGTCGCCCAAGGCTTAGGTCTATGTTTTGAGTTGGGACTTAGAAAAAACAATTTTAGTTGATTATAAAGTCTAAATCTGGAGATGTAACCCTTAAATGTTACAGTACCTGAAATTTCATGAAAGCAGTAAACTAATTACCCAATGCCTGTACATGTATATATAAGATGACCTGTGATTAGGAATTGGTATAAATTGCAAACTTACCAAATGTCTAAAACGTGGTGCGATTAGACTTATCCTCTACAATTTTAGCAAGAAGAAAGCCTAAAAAGTAGTTTCGATCATAAATACAACCTAAGTCTCTATATCAGTTTGTTATGCCTTTGGTGTCACTAGGTTCCTTTCAAGTACAATTTTGGCAACACTAACTGAGCATCATGTGTTTATCCCGAGGAAGATACCTCTATATGTTAAATATTTCAAGAAGGTCTAATTAACTTGAGCATCAACAAAAATATAAATGATGTTAAGATATAAACATTTTTATATACTCTTGAGTCCAAACCAATTTCAGGGTTAGTAGTTGAGACTTGAGAGTATTAATCACTACGCAAATGTCATTGGATTTAAATAGCAAAGGATTGCCCAAGTATAGAAAAAAAGCCAGTCGTTGTTTATATCAGTAGTCAGACGCCATCGAAAAGCATAAAAGTATGCATTAATGAGTCAAAAAGGATCATATAGTAAATGGAATATTTAACATCATTATCTCTAAAATTAAGAAAAAATTGAAAATTCTATAATATTTTCTTTGACTTTCTAAACATAACATTCTAATTTAGGCTTTCATCCAAGATATAATACTAGATCATTTTGTCAAATCATAATCACTCTACCCACATCAGATGCTGCGTAATGAAATGGGACATATGTACATCCTTTCTAGTCCATGAAAATTAGCGGGGGGGGGGGAGTGGGGGAATCAGCTAGTTACTACTTACTATCTATCCTATAAAAACATACATCAATGGTCATGAAGGGAAAAAAATTGGAAACATGCTAGAAAATATAATTATACTTACTCTATTTAAGAGGCACATCAAGGATTGCATCTGATTTCTTCCCACTGAATCTCCAACAAAAGCCAAAGACTTTCCCCTGACAATCTCCAAGAATTGCGCCGGGTTAAATATAGGCAAATCACAATCCTTCGGCTTCCACCTCCATCTCATGAACTCAGTATCTGGCCTTCCAAACTTCATGCAATTTTGATGCTCATGAATTGCCCAACATGTATCATTTGTATAATAAGGTGCATTAGGACTTGGTATCCACTCTCCTCTGAAAATATCACACTCTTTAGCCTTGTTTTTTTTTGAACTGACACACTCTTTAGCCTTGTTAACACTATTTATTTGCTCAATGATGATGTTATGTGATGACGAGGGAGGAGGTGGTGAAGGTTCATATTGAATTGACTGTCCTAGTAAAGAATAGTAGTAGAGAGAGGAGATGGTGAAGAGAACAAGAGTTAGTGTTAGAAAGAGAATTGGTTTAGAGGTTTTCTCTAGATTTGTTCTCTTGGCAGAGAGAAGATCTGAAGAATAAATGGCTTGCATATTGAAGAGATCAAAGGTTTTAGATTGTGTATCTTTTTAGAGTAGGCTAATGTGGATTTTATAGTATTTTGGTTGGCCATCATGTTGCAAGAAATGCTTGGAGTTATTTGCATGAAAGTAGGCCAGATGATAAAGCTGTGACCTTGCATTTGGGTTATGCTAGATTTTTGCTTTTTTTTACATATATTATATATTTACAGTGCATGGCCAAAATAATATGTTTTTTGTTGTGTTAAACCACCCTGCAAGGTTTTGACCTTCATGCATACAAATTTAAAAAGTTTCGCCTGCTTGTCCTCTGACAAAGAGGCAATTACTGTAAACATAATACGAAAAAAATGTGCTAAAAGGAAGACAAACTTTGAGGCTGCCAAATTTATCTCAAGCTTGCTATAAAAATACATTGCTTGGGAAATAAAGAAATATTCATTAAAAAACAATATAGAGTTAATAACTAACCCGAAAAGTTTGAAGGAAATCTGTAGAAGGATTTACTCCAGCTCAAGAGCAAGAGTTTAGAATCATAGATTTATCAAATAAAAAAATCATCCTTTTGAGAAATTTAGAAAGGCCTTGTACTATGAAAGAGACCCATTTAAAGTAAGAAGAATTATGAAGTATACTTTTGAAAGAAAAATGTATTATTCACAATTTTTTAACTAAACTCTTATCCCTATGATCTGCAGTTTGCAATATAGCAATTTAATATTTTAATTCAGAATAGTCTATTATTGGCTATTTAAGTTATGGTTGTTTAGTTTTCAATTGTGTTATTTCACAATTAACACGTAGCATAAACAGTCAGGGCCCATATAGTTATCAAAAATCAAATCATGTATAAACAAATATTATTAGTATGTGATCCAAATGCTATAGAATCTACTCTGAAGTTTCTAAAATGGAACATCTCAACTACCGTATGGTACGTAACAGTGTTGGGAATATAGTACTCTCAAACATATCTGTCAAATGAATAAAATCTTTGCCCAATCATTCTCAAAGCCATGCAGTTTTGTATTTTTTTTTTCTTTTACTTTATTACTTTATTTTATCTCTCTACACAAATCAGAAATGAGATAGCACAGCTTTATGTACCTAATGCAATTCTGGCAAATGCAAAAAATAATGACTAGACTTTGAACTCATGCGACTGAAAGGGGAACAAACTATGTGAAATGAGTTGTCGTTATGCACAAAGCAGAGTGCAATCTTCCAACCCATATCTTGATCAAAATACATGAAAGGATGCATTATTAGTCCCAATTAGGTACAATTACATGTGGTTTTCTATATTAGTTTTCGTTCCCTACTAATCCTTTTTCTGCGTCTTTGTTGGAGGTTCAAATCAAAAGTAACACTTGAACCGAGCTGTTTATTGGAAGCAAGACAAAAATGGCAGGTCGTATCAACGCATAAGCAAAGAGAGGAGAGCAACTGATTTTGACTTGGTCACTAGTTGGTGCACTTTGATGTTATTTGTGTCCCCTCACTGGATGTTATGTACAAACCATAAAATCCATGAGGCCCCAAATCTGCCATACTACTGTTGCATATGTCACAAATTAAATGATTGAGAGAGCTACACAAGATTACATATTTTAAAAAAAAAACTTTTGAAATAAGAGCACAAAAACACTCATAAAAGATATAATGTATTGCAAAATTTCCCTTCATTAGTGTGGACACAAGTAACTAGTTAGAGACAAGGACAAAAACAAGAAAATGTATTTAATACAATATGCTTATCAAAGGCAATTTTCCAAGGACCCCTTAAAGAAATCTCCTCTTAAAAACCTTGGTATCACCATAAAATTTTGCATGCTGGGTCATCATAAAAAGCTAGGATGATTTCTGCAATCATTGACCGATGAAGTGCCCAGCCTTCAGATTGTTCCATTGTATTATGCCATATTATTCTTTCTTTTGTTGAGGGGGTTTTCGATCGATGTAGGATATTCACTTGGGGCAATCCAAAGACCCCATAGTATGAATAGATGTAAACAAAATAATAACACAGAAGAAAATGTGTTGGATGGATAAACATTCCAGCAGAATTCAATACCAAAGAACAATATCAACCTGCATCCAAAGTTGATGAAATATGAAGATTCCAGTGTTAATGAGCACAAAGCAATAGACTCACTATAGATAAATTATGAGCCATGGTAAGTATGGTAGAATTGTACCGTAGAGGAGTTGGAAAAGGAGTTTTCCATAATAGAAAAGGCAAAGAGAAGAAATACCTGCCAAGGGAAAAGAAAAGAAAATTAAAAAAGAAATATCATTATTAAAAGTTTAATTTATATGGCCAAGGCACTATTAGCTGAATATATTTTTTTTGCTATTTAATTTATCATACTAAAATTTTACTATAACAAGAGATCTCATGTAAGCTACAATATCAGGTATTCAATTTTCACGTAATTTTCTTCAATAAAAAAGGTTTCTTTCCCATTACAATTTACAGAGACAACATTAAGTTTCTGCAAGATAGCATGTCAGCATCTATCTGAATGAAAATTTGAAATACTTGAAGTATCATAGTCATGGGGCCATACTCAGTCCTCTGCAGATAATAACAGATGGGAACTGATACCCAAAAAGAAAAATGAAAAAGAAACACATAAATTTGCAAATTAGACCAATACCTCTGCTAGTAAATGACTTTGATTAAAAAAAAATTGCTTGGGAGGCTTACCAAGAATAGAATTGGTAATGCAGAGAACGGGCACACATGATGCCGATGAAGTTCCCAACAAACATGAGAGTTACAATATCTACAAGAAGCAGAACAACAAAGAGCTTGGCTCAAGATGTATATCATAGAAGGAACTGAAATAAGACTTCTTATTGTTTTTTTTCTTATTGTAGACCAAAAAAAAGAGTAGGATAACATAGATCGAATCCTTATGAGATTTACACTTACGTTCCTTACTGAGAGGCCTATAGCTTGATTCAGAAGGAACAGATTGATGGGAGGACTTTTGCATAGCATTGTGAAGTCTTTTTTGCACTAGATGAATGAGCCCTCCTTCATGCCTGTCAGTGCCTGAAACACTCAGTAAATCCATATGCTGCCCAAGAATCCGATACAGTGTGGACATAAAGCTAACTGACTTAGCAATAGAAAAAAAATTGATAAACCTAAATAAGCAGTAGATCTACGTTAAGAAGATCAAGAGAACACAACTATTCTTGTACAAGATAGAATTCAAATTATCTTAGAAAAATTGTTTAAGTGAAAAAAACATATTGGAAGATTTAAGCATCAATTATCTAATTTAGAAAAGTAATAAGCAACTAAGCATCATAGAATGCACAGCAGATGACAAATATAACCATATATCTTAAGCACTCACTTGGACCATTTATAATGCGCAAACAGCAGAAGCAATGTAAGATGAAGAGCCAGCAAAGCGCTTGCAAATCCTTTTGACACAAATAGCTCTTCTGGAACAAATTTAAAATTAACAGACCTGAAAAAGAATATAAAAGCTTATGTCATATTATCTCTATTGATCGAAAGCCATTACAGTAATCATAATTATCTGAATTATATATCTCAATTGGATAGTCAGAAATATTACTGGAAAAAAAGTGCTCAAGTAACGCTAAAAGGGAACTAACAGGTGCTGCACCTACTGACCATCCGGATAATCATTCCTCACGATTGGATATGTCAATTAAAAGGAACATGTGCAACAGGATATGTCCACTTACATACAAATGCACATCCATATGTCAAAATTTTACACGTTTGTATGCAAAATAGTGTATTACAGAAAGAAATTTGCATTTGTGTGTATATACCTCTGATTACATACACTATTGAGTAAGTAGACAGATACAAACAAGTAGGTTTTAGCATTATCCATGAGCAAGAGATATGTTGGTATACTAATTACAATTTAACATAAGGATTTAGGTTAATCCAACAGCATCACATAATACTTCAAATGACAAAAGCAGCTTAAAAGTCTAAAGTATGCACCAGAAATGGATGAAAACACGTCCAAGATTGAAGGCCCTTGAGATGTATGCAACTGGATGTGACAACAAAAAAGGTAGACCGAATAGGATCTGCAATGTGCTCATCAAAGGAATAAAAATGTCAAATTCTACGAGAAGCAATGTAGAGTTAATAATAAATATTATCAGCAGGTTTTTAGCATATTGGCAATCTCCACCTTTCACAGTAGCAACTAATCAATACAGTGTTTAAACTTTAAATGAGCAACCAGTTAATCCACCTTTCACATCTACAAGTCAAGACTCAATTAGCCATAGAGTTGTTCAAGAAAGCTCTTTAAACATGCTCAAAATATCCCTTTTGTTAAAGCTTAGGCACTTGCACAATAAAAACATGGATAATGAAAGGAGGGGAAAAAACAGTTGGAAACATAGATAATTAGTGGCTAACATTAAGATTAGGAAAGGATTTGGATGATGGTGACGGGATAACTAGCCATAGAACATAAGGCTACACCTACATAATATGCATTAATCATATTTAAATTAGGAAGATATTTGTCAAGTTTCAATTGCTTCTATCAACAAGCAAGGATTACAAGCCACAAATTGTAGTCACGACAAAAACAAAGTCTTAACCCCATTCCCTGTGCAGCTTAGCAGTTGTCTTCTGCCAGTGAATGAGATGAACCATTCTTCAGTACGTATGATTAGAAAATAAAGCAAAATAAAGTTAGCAGCATACACTAAGATCTTAGTAAGTAGTTTCCTTTTTCTTAGATACAGGTTGCAGAAGAACTTCATCAACAACTAAAAAAATTTCAGCAGGCCTGTCCAATTGAACATAAAACACAAATATGAGAAAATATAGAAAATAAGATAAAACACTATAGATGAATACCTGCAACAATCCAGCACCTAACAATGCAGAAAGCAACCCCATAATACTCATACCCTGTAACAGGACATTTGAAAGCAACAGTCAATTTATTTAAATAAAGAAAAACTAGGATATTAAATATATTGATAACTAGTATCACACCTTCCACATTAGTAGAAGCAAAGGTGGAGCATACAGAAGAACATTCATCTTAATTGATACAGCTCCACTGCATTGCAAGACAAAATAATTTTAAAGAAAAGAGACCTAAACTTATCCTATTTTACGAGCAGAATTAATTAACTGCTAAAGGTTCTCAGAGTATTAATCAGAAATATGATAATCACCTGAAAATGAGTAACGCCAGATGCCACTTTTGGTAAAGAAGCAGAGCTAACGAAGCATGAAGCAGAGTCATTGCAAAGCAGTCATTGAAGAGACGAAGCATAAAGATGGAATGAATTCGCTTTGACAAACAAAGCAAGCTAAGGGTCCACCATGGAAGCTGCAAAACATTAAAAAAAGAATTAGCCATCATAAGACATTGTAGATGAAATGAAGAACTAAATTGGGAAAGGGGATTATCGTACTTTGATAAAATTTAAAATGGAAATCCAGCTATGTTCATTGGTAGAAAAATATTTTTAGGTGCACTGAGTATAAGCTAAAAGTTGTCCAACAGTGATATAGTACATTCTGATGCCCCAAGCAAGAAAATGTGAACTATAAAAATATATCATTCAGATTGAGTACATGCTGTCAAAATCTTCACCTCTGATACAAGAGAGCAACAAATTGACCAGTGTTCAATATGCCCTCCTTCTAGACAGTCAAAAGCTTAGAGAAGGGCAGGTAAAAGAAATATGTGTAAATTCGAAGATAAAAACAAATTGATCTGATGCAAAAAAATTGTATAAGAACAAAGAGAAGTGCATGATGCGCATTCATCATCTCCACCATCAAGGAATTTTCAGGAAAAACAAAAAACCAACCTAATTGCTTATGGCAATATAATAATAAACATAAAAGACTAGAGTCACTTTCTGAAAATATTTCATGAGGTTACGTACCAAGTCAGTCTTTACATAGATGAGAAAGATGATTCCCAGATTAACAATATACAAGATGCCGAATAAAATCTGCATAGACACAAGAAAATAGAGAGTTAGAAACATATAATCACCAAACTACAAAGGTACAGGACATAGAAGCATGACATGATGTTATTGAAGCCAAAGAGGTAACACCCAAAGTGCAATTATCAAATATTCATAATAAAATTTACATATAAGATGCTATTCTAGGTACTACTGACGTGTGCATCATGCTGGCACGATTATCCACAAGTAAAATACAACAAAAACAATTCTGATCACTAAAACCTTGCCTGGTGCATGCAACTATCTTTTCAGAAAGTTTGATATACATGATTAGCAATACACATACAATTAAACCAGCAACAACCTGTCATAGATGACAGACACTAAAACAGACTAATTGCACTTACTATACCTAACC